TATATATATATATATATATATATATCTCCACTTTACATACATATGTATACACACATATTCATTATTACAGGCTTGCTCACTAGGATAGGAAGATGGCTAGGGTTCTAAATCCTCAGGAAGCTGTAACTCTGGAGACAGGGCCCTCCTGCCATTCTAGATTACCCCTGAGTCCCCAGCACCCAGCAATCTGCCCCCTAAGGATTTGTTGAGTGACTAGAAGAATGTCAGGCTTGCACTCTATTTTCCATATGGATGAATTACAGGAAGTCACTACCCTTGGCTCACTGCCCTCTGGCATAATGTAAGGATGCTGATTTTTGCAGGTACCCATAGGCTGGGGCAGCTGGAAGGGAGGACTCACACAGTGGGTGGGGGGTAAGGCAAGACGGGAGCCAGGGAGACGTAGGCCATGGCTGGGGGTGCAGCAGCCAGGTACCAGAGTCCAGGAGGCACTCGAACTGGCGAGTTCATCTGCCGGTTCTTCCGCTTGGGGCTGGGGGAGGTGCTTGTGGCTTTCCTTGGGGTGTTCTTCTCTGTAAAGGAAGAGAGGACACAGAGATGTGGGGATGTGAGCAGCCTGCAGCCAAGCATGGTGGGGTAGCCAGCCAGTGCTGCATGTGGGGGTGACGGGCAGTGGGTGGGGCACCCTGGGTGGGCACCCCTTGGGGAGTTGCTCCTCTGCTTCCTTTAGTTTGCTCTAGCTGAGCTTACAGTGTTCCCAAAGTCTGGCCAAGCCCATGACTAGAGGAAGATGCTGAGTGCTCATTCTTACCAGAGGGGCCTGGGCTGGGGCCATCTGCCTCTGCAGTGGGCTTGACTTCGCCACACAGAGGACAGCGGAGGGTGTCAGCAGCGGCGGCTCCCAGCGGCTCTCTAGAGACAGGACTGTCTAAAAGGGAAGAAAGAGGAGGAGGTCTGGAAAGATCCCCTGCAGGAGTTACCCAGGCTGCTTTTTGAGGACAATGTGGATAGTAATGATGACACAGGCAGGTGCTGACAGGCTAGTTGCTAAGCACCTTCATGTGTCAGTCCACAATGCCCCAGCACCTCACTGGGCTAGCTACTCTACCTATCTCCCCTCTACACCCGAGGAAACTGAGGCTTCATGAGGTAGCACTTTGCCAAGGGAAGTGGCCATCTGGTGCAGGCCCTCCAGATGACAAGGCCATGTTGCCTCCTAGACAGTCTCAATCCTCCCATGAGCGCCCAGGGCAGCCAGCAGGAAAGCAGGGTCAGCCCACAGTGCTCACTGCAGGCACCCAGTGCCAGCCCTGGCTGAGCATCAGGCTTGTGCACTTGCTCCCCAGACCACACTTGGCCAGCACACCCCCTGGGAACCTCCCACGCCCGGTCTGGTCATGTACCCCAGGTCTGTGTTTGCCCCGACCTCTCTGCTTCCATGATGGTTCCTTAGAGACAATATTGGTAGGTGCTGAGTGAGTGAGTGAGTGAACAAGTGAGTGGGAAAGTCTGTCCATGAGGTGCGGGGCCAGTGCTCCAGAGCATGAAGACCCGAGTTCAAATACAGACTGTACCACCTGGAAGCTGTTCGTCCTTGAGTGGGTTACCTCCCTCTCATAAGACAGTCTGTGCTCATCCCTGATAAAAATTCCCGATGGGGAGCCTCCGCTGACCAGACTGCTGTCTCTTACCTGGGTCCCGGGTCCTAGCGGGCTGGCAGCGGGGACAGGAGGCTGTGCCACTGTCCTTCAGGATGGCCCTGGGGGACAGAATGTGGTACTCCTGGCCTGGAGAATAACCCAGAGAGATTATCATCAGCACCTGTGTGGACTCGGGAACGCTCTAACCATCTCTCTCCTGAACTTGCGGTGGTTTCGCTAGCTGTCCTCTGCCATCTCCTGTGCGCATGTGAGTGTGCTCGCCACGAATGTACCCGCTGTACACACGTGTGCATATGTGCACAGATCACAGATGCCTGTTTCCTGCCACCCTCTTTCAGGCTCCCAGCTGCAGTCCGCACTGTGTGGGCGTGGTTAGCACACCCAGCAGAGGCAGGGCGTGGCTTAGGAGTCAGCGCGTGGCTTCCTTGCTTGTGTCTTGTCTCTCCCTGGGGGTGTGGGGGGAAGGACTCCCAGGTCAAGATGGCCACCTGGAGTACCTGAATTGCTGAGATTCAGGTTCAGTCAGAGATCTTGCTTGCATTGGTTGGTTTTGTGTCAACCTGACACAAGCTAAAGTCGTCAGAGAGGAAGGAGGCTCAATGGCCTCCACAAGATCTCACTGTAAGGCATTTTTCTTAATTAGCGGTTGATGGGCAGGGCCCAGTCCATGGTGAGTGGTGCCATTCCTGGACTGGTGGTCCTGGGTTCTATAAGAAGGCAGCTGAGCAAGCCGTGAGCTCATGAGCTCATGAGCGCCCCTCCATGACCTCCGCATCAGCTCCTGCCTCTGGCTCCTGCCCGTTTTGAGTCCTGTCCTAACTTCCTTCGATGATTAACAGTGATGTCAAGTGTGAGCTGAATAAACCCTTTCCTCCCCAACGTGCTTTTGGCCATGGTGTTTCCTCACAGTGGTAGGAACCCTGACCAAGACAGTGCATCAGTAAACAAAGCAGAGAGGGATGGAGGAAGATAGCAGGCAAGAACTTACGGTCTCCACACGTATGAGGACACACATGCCCATGCAGTCATGCACACATGTGCCCATACACACAAACGTGTTTACACATGTGCACATAAACAAGGTAAAAATAAGCCATGGGCCAAGGTCGGGGGCTGCATAGTTGAACACTTGCTGAGTGTGCTGAGCTCACCTGTGTACTGACCCCGGAAGGAGACTCTTCCCCTTCGATTCACCCCCTCCTGTGCCACCTGGGGATGCTCCTCAAAGGTCCTGTTCTTATCAGATGGCAGCCAAGGGGAAAGCGATTCAGATTCGGAACCTGTGGTGGAAAGGGAGCCTCAGAGGGGCAGGTGAAGGGCTCACACTGTTGGAGGTGTGAGCACAGTACAAGGGCAGGGGTCAGGGTGATATCTGGGTTTTGGGCTTGGGTCTTCCCAGGGAACCATGAATCCATAGCCCCAGAATCTCAGCCTGTAGCTTGTGGCTACCATAAACCTGTGCAGTATCCGCGGGGCAGATGCTATTTCTACATGGTTTGCTGTCACTTTATCTGCTCGGAACAGTTGACAATCTGGCCAGGAACAGGAACTGGAGCTGAACCCCAGTTCAAACTCCAGAGCTGTGCTCTGTCCGTGAAGTCCCTGTATTCTAGACTTCAGGGTCCTCAGCAGAGTGTACATCCTGCTTGCAATGGAGGCTGGGGACCACCTGTACAAGATCCTCAGCTCCATCCCTTGTGGTAACTGCAGAGTCTAAGGTGCTTAAAACTAGAGATGTGCTTTATCTCAGAGTGCAGAGACATGCCCGACGGCCCTCTCCAGGCTTTTCTAGGTTCCCTGGCCACAGAGCCAACATGCTGACGGGGACCCCAGAAACCAGCCCCAGCCTCTGCTCACTTACTTATCAATAGTCTGGGAGCATCCCGAGGCACCGAGGAGGACCTGGCTTGCCGTATTCCTGTTGGACCAGCTGGTTCGACACCGTTAGGCTCCACACACAGCTGCTCTATGGATTTACTAGTAAGACAGAACAGAGACCACTATAATGTTTGGGGGCAGCCTTCACAGATGACCATGGCATATATGCTCCCCTGCCATAAACTAAATAAATGTGGGGGAAAGGCAAAAGAATGACCATGTTGGGGGGTGGGGAAAGTATAGCGTCTGAGTCCATGTGCCCAGAGAGGGCCAGAGACTGGCCCACCCTATAGAGAACAGAGGTAGGAGTTGGGGGTGGGGTCTTCTACCTGCTATAGCGGGAGCCCCAGGAGGGTGAGGAATCCTCCAGCTTTTTCTGGGTCTGGATGGAGGGGTTGAAAGCAGAAACTACAGGAGTTGGGCTTCTTGGGTGTGGCCGGTGCAGGCTGTCCTCGAGTCTTAGGCGGAGCCATGATACCTCTGCCTGTAGATCCTTGATGGCCTGGCTGGCGTGGCGGGGAGACAGAAACAAGAACATCTAAGCAAATAACAGAGCTTGTGGGACCCCAGTGTTGCCTGGGTGGGGTGGTTTGTGTCTTTGTAGACACAAGATCAGACTGTATAACCAGGTGATTCTGGAATGTCCCTTGCCACACACCTTACAACCTTTCTGAGTTTATGCTCCACAAGCAAATCTGGGGAACCCACCTGTGAGGGTGACCCCTGTAACCTGCTGGCTCAGCTTCTCAAGACAGAGACTAGGTACAGAATAGAAAACACTGAAGCTGGCTTGGTGACACACCCCTGCACTCCCAGCACTCAGGAAGCTGAGGCAGGAGGACCACCATGATTTCAAGGCCAGTCTGGGTGACATAAAAAGCACACAAACAAATGCTTGTAGGTTTTCCATCCTGTCCTGCCTGGATCAGGGCTGCCCTGCCTTCCCTACCTCCTTTCAGAAGCTGCACCTCTGTCTGAGCTGGACTACCTGCTCCTATTCCTGCAGGTGTTCCTACTGTCTATGCTACTCCCAGCGAAGATGTTCCTGCAGTGTATTTGCCCCTGAAACCCTCATCCACGGGTAGGCAGGGTAAGCATCCCATCTCATAACCACAGAAACATCAGGTGCTGGGGTACATTCCTGGATTCAGGCTTCAGGAGGGAGAGCGAAGGGAGAGATAAGGGGATTCCACATGCTCCTGGTGCTGTGGAGCAAGAAGGGTGGAAGATGAAGATATTCTCTGCAAGGCTGCCTGCAGCCCGCTTCTCGCCTATACCCTCCTGTCCAAAGGGCAACATCGCCCGTATCGGCCTGCCAGGTCCCCCCCTCGCTGAGCTCTCAGGGTCCCTGCGAGCCTTGCCAGCACTGCTGAGAACAAACCGATCAACATCCCGACACAGACCCTATGCGTGGAGCACCACTAGCAGCTGGGCTTGGCATGGCCATCTTCCGGGCTGAGGTGAGCTCTGGAGCCGCTCCGTGGGTGGCACCCAGGCTGGGGACTCCCCTCAGGAGTCCCTGAACTCTTGGGCGAGTGTCTCCTAGTGCTCCCTGCAAACATGATCTCTGCGGTGACTGCTCAGGAAGGCTTGGAGACTTCTCTCTGGCCATGTCCAAGCAAGCTGTGTGTGTACCAAGCATGGATCTCCTTGGCGATCCCCAGGGAGACTCATGCTGGGGTTTACCAAGGCAAAGCCCAGAGGCCACGGTGGCTGCAGGAGAGTGAGAACACCCAGCAGCTGGTTAGACGTGGGACACAGAGGCTGGCCTCCTGGCCTGGGACCTGGAACACAGCCTTGGGTGTCATCTGTCCTCTGGCTGGATCTGCCAGGCTCTTGGGCTTCCTGACTTAACACTAGTTGCCTGAGGTTCAGTAGGGACTGCAGCTCATTTTTCTCTGAAGATTCGGTCCTGACCCTGCCCAAGAACCAGCAAGCAAGCCAAGCAGCCATCAGAGTCCTTCCCCGCACGCCCCGAGACTTAATGACCACCAATCCCCAGTGCATGCCAGTACAGCAGTATGCCACCACAACAGCTCTTCTTAAAAATGTCCCTTCTTTTCTGAGTCCGGAGTCACCTTTCCCCTACTGAGGCATCCTTCTTGGACTTTACCCCTTGGCCTCTGTACTGACCCCAGCGGCAGCCAGGGAACTTCTAAAGCTTGTCTGTAGTCATTGATCTCAACACACACCATCTCCTCCTCTCTAGCCCAGCGTCATATCAGCGAAGGACTGATCACACTTGAGAGTGCCTGCGTGCTTCTTTGACTATGAGCTGGCGAGCTTTTCCAGAGCCAAGAAATGTCCAGTCCCTCACTATATCTCCAAGGCCTAGTACAGCATGAGCCAATGTGCCTCTCTCCCCTCTCTCTCCCTCTCCCTCCTCCACACACATACATACAACTACACAGAGGTCCAAAGACTACAGGGGTAGACAAATTCAGTTCAGACCATAACACAGAACACCAGTTGCTGGGCAGAACTGTTCACAGGGCAACAAACATGAGCGTACTAGCCAGGATGGCCTTTCAAAGTTCCCAGTGTGTTCCAAGAAGTAACAGATGGTCTTCTATTCAGTCAAGGAAGGATCTCAGCAGAAAACACCTGAGAGACAGGACAGTTTCTCACCATCTAGCCTAGGCCTGTATAGAACTCATGGTCCTCCCCACTGCCTCTCAGGCATTGGAATTACATGGGTGTATCTCCATGCGTAGCTTGATATTAATCTGCAATATAGATGTCATACAACAAGGCTAGTGTGTGTGTGTGTGTGTGTGTGTGTGTGTGTGTGTGTGTGTTGAGGGGGTGGGTGTCAGAGTCAGAAAAATGTACCTGTCGATCATTTCCCATTAGCTAGAGAAGAGGTCTCATAAAGCAGCCCTGAGCTAGGAGGCAAGATGAAGGCACACATGGTCCTGGCTGGGTCACCGTGAATGTGTAAGCTAGGTAGGAGCACTGTCATGGCCTTCTGCCTCCTCCACTCTCCATCTAGTGAGGCGAGATTGCCCAGACTGTGCCACTTACTCGCGCTCTGTCCTGTTGAGGAGGAGGTTGGCAGTGCTCTCTACTGATCCATGGGGCATGGAGGCAGCTGTGGGGACTGGAGCAGGGCCTGGGCTGGTTGTTCCACTAGGAAGATGTTTGGAAATCTGCTTCTGTCTTTTGAGCTCAGACCTGGTAACCACTAGAGACGAAGAAAGAGGCAACATGAGCAACAGAAATGAGCCCGGGAGCATCAACTGAAGGGTGGCAAAAACGAGGTGGGAAGGTAGGTGTGCGTGCGTGCGTGTGTGTGTGTGTGTGTGTGTGTGTGTGTGTGTGTGTGTGCAGGCGTGCACAAGTCGGTGTCTTTGCAACACTTGTCTGGCCCAAGGTGTCAGATTTCCCTGGGGCTGGAGGTATAGGCAATTGTGCGAGCCTGATGCAGACATTGGGACTAGAACTCAGATCTTCTGCAAGTGACCATTTAGCCATCTCCCCAGCCCCTCTCACTGGCTGGGGGCTGCCATTTTGGCTAGACTAGCTGGCAGAGAGCCCCTGTAATCCACCCATCTTGGCCTCCCCAGCAATGGGATCACACAGGTCACTCACTTGCTTTCTCACTTGGGTTCTTGGGGATCAAACGGAAAGGAAGCATCTCCCCAACTGAGCTCTCTTTTCTGCTCCCCTGTGGTGAATCTCCATAGTATTTCCCTCCCTCAAGTACAACACAAAGCTGTCTGTTTGATGCTTCAATTCATACAGTGTGGTCACTTCCAGGCTACAGCCTACCCAGGCTCCCACTCACCCATCTTAGCCACTGGTGCCTGCTCCAGGTGGGAGCTCTGTGCTCCTTGTTGGAGAGAGCTGTTTGGGCTGGATGGACGCCGCTGGGTTCGGCTTCTGGGTGTGGCAGCCTCAGCAGCTCTTCTGGGAACCACAGAGACCCTGGCCTTGGCATGGGAGGTTCTATCACCCAGCACAGAAGCAGTGATGTGCTGGGCTGATGTCCCTAGAGTGCTGTAGGCCAGGGGAGGAGGGACACACTGAGGTTAGACAGAAAGGCCTCAAGCCATGGTACCCAAGCCCCTCTGTGTGCTAAAGCTCAAACTCTCAGCCTGAGGGCTGCACATCTCCAGAATCTCAGTCTATCTGGGGACTGAGGATGCCTCTGCTGAGGCATGCTCTTCTGACATTTGCCTCACAGTGCACCTGTCAGACATATAGGGCAGGAAGGGAACTCTGTTCATGCTTCACAGTTCTAGTCCTTCCTTCATGTGTACACCTGAGTTGCCAGCTAGGGCTCCAGGTGCCAGCGCCCCACCCTGCGATCCCCAGTCTCCATGGTGACTTCACTGCTCCCCCTTCCTGCGGATCTCCTCCGCCCTCAGCTTTTCCTTGAGTTCCTTCCGGTCTCTCCACCTGCTATGCTGACACTCTTTTGTCCACAGCATCTGCTGTCTCGTACTACCTTCCCTGCAGCCTTGATCTACTCACTCCATGTATCCCTGCATTTGCTTAGTAAAAAATATCTCCGAACAGTTGCTAACGGGAGGAGTGATACTGAGGAAGGCACTTTTGCTCTTGCAGCTTCTCTTCCCTTCTGTCAGAATGGCAAGAACAGGAACCATCACTGAGGGTATGCAGATGCCACTGGCCCATGTTCTGGGCCGCCACGGACACTTGGATTTTCAAGATACCCCAGGCGTGTGATAGTGGTGGGTTAGAATACCTGACATGGGAAAGCCGGTGCTCTGGGGTCTGGGTGAAGGGTGACACTAGGCTGGTTTCGGAGCCCACGAAGCCACTGTCTATCTCTGGTGAGAGCATCCAGGGCTCCTAGAACAGGCCACGTTCTTTAGTCTGAGGAAAGCATTCCTGTGCAGTGGGAAGCCCCTCCCAGATCCTGGCCTCACACCCCCAGGGGTCCCTGTCCCATGAGGACACTGAGCAGGCCTTGCTGCCCTGAAGACTGGGCTCCATCTGGGCTCTTGGAAGAGATGCTAGGGCTTGCAAGATGAAAGGAGGAGGAGGAGGAGAAGGCCTCAACCATTTTTTTTTTGTGCCGGCAGTTCTACGTGCTGCAGAGATGCCTAGGACAACATATGTCATGCACATGCCATCACATGAACTTAAAGCAGGACTTAGGGAACATGTGGGTAGGGAGGTCCAGCCACCTCAGAGGGCTCAGGTCTGAGCAGAGACTGTCATTGGTTCATTAGGATTGCAGACATGTGTATACGTGCATGCTCCGTGTGTATTCGTTTGCCTGTATGTAGGTGTGCATGTGTGTGTGCATATGTGCCTGTGTATGTCCATGTAGGTATACATGCATGTGGTATGCATGTGTGTTGTATGTAGTGTGTGTGTGTGTGTGTGTGTGCACACATATACATAGTCTCAGTGGCATTTCATCCATGGCCTTTCCCCCTGCAACACTTTGAGAATTAGCATTTGCTGGTGCAAATGGCACAGTTAGGTACCAGGTCTCAGTTCTGACACATGGTGACACATGGGCACAAGCCACAGCTCTAGAAGGAGGCTACTAGCCGAGGACAGGGCTGGAGGAGGCATTGGGCCCAAATGTTTATGGGTGGGCAGGCTTATGGCTGCGGGAACAGGAGCAGAGTAAAACAATCGAAGGGCAGAAACAGCCTAAACACCAAGGAATCTTCTGGCCATTCTACAGGCACACTCACCTCAGCATGGGAGCCGCCAGCCTGAAGCAGAGCTTTGCGAGGAAGGAGCCCTGAGGGCCCACTCTCTTCCAGGCTAGTCAGACTGCTCTGATGTGAAGCCATGGGCCTGGTGCCCCGTTGAGCCACTTCAGCTGTATCCAGGCCTGCTGTGTTCCTCTCTCTGGCCGTGGATGTCCGGAAGCTTGGTGGCTTCATGGAAACCACCCATTCCTCATCTTCCCTAGCAGGGACAGAGACAGCATTTGTGAGCCCCCACGTAAGCCAGGTGCCCTAGACCTGGGGGTTCGGCCCATCCTGAGAGCACCGGTCCAGGGGCAAGCTCTGGCATCAGACTCATATTCCTGGAGACCCATCATAGCTGTCACCGAGCTGTGAGCACTTTCTACCTCTGAACCTCGTACTCCCTTTAATGGTAATGTGAGAAGCCAAAATAACCTACCCGGTACACCACAGCATAACAACCATGAAGACGTGGCTGAAGCAGAGGTCCTGAGAGCCCAAGCATTCACACGCCCCCTTTCCTGTGTTAGCTATTTCCACAGACTTCCATGGACTCAGAAGACAATGTTATTATGAATGGAAGAACAGAGTCTGGTGTTACAGACAGAAACTAACTTTGAAAACTATATAAGAAACAGGACAGCAATATCTCAGGCTAGATACTTTTTTCTCCCTGAACTGGAACTTGAACTTGGATCATGCTAAGCAGGTAGGTCCTCCTACACTGAGCTACCTCCCTAACTCTTTTGATTGTGTTGACAATGGCCACCCCTGTGTGGGACATCGGAGCTTGTGACAGAGGCCAGGGACTTACTGGAGAGCAGCCCTGTGGCTTTTCTTAGCCTGAGCTGAGCACTGTCCTGGTGGTACCCTCACGGCATCTGTTTTCCCCAGAGCTGAGGCTGGACCATCAACGTCCAAGGTGCCATGATGATCCCGCTCCTCCTCCTCCCCAAGGTCCTCTTCATCTTCCACCCTCAGGGCTTCAGGGAGAGACTTGGTGCTGAGGTATCTGCAGGAGGATGCCCAGGGCATGTCACCTCTGCCCATGGAGACAAGCAGGGCCCCCTGTATCTGGCCCAGCAGTGGAGACTGCCTCCATCCTATGGACACTCACCGCTCCAGAAGGCCATGGAAGTCCTGCTCCACCTGAAGCTCCTTGTCCCCAAGTGGGGCCGGGAGATCTCTCTGGATTTCCTCTATCCTGATGCTCCCCAGGCCCACCTCTTTGCTCATGGGGAGGATGAAAGATCTTCCAGGGGAAGTGGTGATGGCATCAGGCTGTGCCAAGGAAGTGGGAGACAGAGGTTAATCGTCAAACTGAGCACCTGCCTCTGCCATCTCATGCCACATGCTGAAGATCAGGAAGCAGTGGATGTGTTGGCCTGTCTCCTGCCATTTATCCATGTGTGGGACCCTGTGAAGACCGCAGGGTCTTCATGCTGGCTGCTGTGAGCTGAGCTCCTGGTGCCTGCCAGGAATACTGCAGACATGGCTTCTCCTCAGAGCCCCAGCACATACCTCGCACAGAAATTGAGGCTGGTGTGATGTGTTAAAGCCATGACAAAGCCAGGGCAGACTGACTGCCAGTGGCACCTGTCCTCACCAATCCCGTGTAGCCTGGCCATCTGCACTTCCTGTCAGCACAGGAGATGCCACCTGCCAGGGTTGTTTGTTCTACTGGGCAAGGCTCAGGGTGACCCCCAACCCTGAGGGCCAGCCTTCTTAGCCCACTCAACTAATACACTAGACCTACCCTGCTCCTCACCATCAGGCAAGTTCCCATGGGCCAGGGACATGGGACTGCCACCAGTGACATCTGTGTGGCCACAGTTCACCCACCCCAGGGAAAGTGGTTGTCCCTCAACAGACCACGGTGCGGAAAGAGGGCTCTGTCGAAAGACACCAGAGGCTGCGTCTGGTGCCTCAGCTGTGTAAGCACCCACACCCCTTGTCCCGCCCTCCAGGCCTGGAGGCCAGCCTAGCTGTGGTTTCTCTCACTGCCATCCAAATATGAGCAAGTGAACCTTCCGAGTCTTGGCTAAGTTCATGTACTCCTCTCTCCCTCTACCCTGTCAACACCCAGCCTCGTACTGGTTGACTCACAGGTGCCTCTGCCACGCTCTGCTAAAAACCTAAGGAGGGTCTAATTCCAGTATGAGACATGAGCCACGAGCTCCTGCCTCACATGATCCGTACTGGTGTCTCCAGCAACACGGCAGACGAAAGCCCACTCACTCGCCACTGAACGACTGTTCTGCTTTGTACAAGTCCTACTTACGCTATTATCTCATTTAAGCATTACTTCGGCGGAGACACCTTCTGTGTCCCAGTCAGTTACAGCGCCCTCCCTTCATTTTCACAGAACTTGCGCTTCCCTTTCAGAGCACTATCAAAATGATAACTACCTCTACAACTAGTTCTCAGATTCAGAAACTCCAAAAGGGCAGAGGTCACCTTCTCCATTTCTGTCCTCACTGAATCCCCACCATGTGTCATAGGGCCTAGACTATGACACACACTTTCTAAGTATATTGAGAAGAAACTGTGGGATAAATAAAAAGAAATGGGGACTGCCCATTGCAATGGGGTGAAGCAGTACCTCATGGTAGGTTTGGACAGCGGGTGAAGAGACCGGTCCTGAAGGCATGGACAGATGAGTGGGCAGAAAGGGCATGTCTGGGGTGCTGTCCTGCAGGTCTGTCCTGCATGGTTCTGGATCTCTATGGGTCTGACCCATGTGGTCCTGCAGCTCTTCCAGGCACAGCCCCAGGTGGTAGATCTCTGCCTCTAGCTCCCTGGAAGGAGGAAATATCAGTATGGTGATAGGAGTCAAATCAGAGATCCTGGGAGTGCCCTCTGGGGTCCACATAAGCCATTATTGATGGCAAGAACTTCAGCAGCAAGATGATAAGACTCCACTGGGACCACGAGGCCTCAGCTCTGTCCCCTCTGCTGAACCCATGCTGCGTGACTCTGAGTAGACCTCAGTTTCCCCATAGTCTACGAGGAGCTTGAAACGTTTCTAAAGGGACTGGATTCTCAGCTCTAGACACGTTGCTCACTAGGACAGGGGACCCCTCTGCTCCCGTAACACAGTGCCAAGTGTCTTCTTCCTGGAGACAGAGGGAGCCAGGGGCCTGTCCTACCTGTCTTCCTGTCTCCCCAGCACCTACCTGCAGAGGTGGAGGGTCCTGGGACTCCCCTTGGAGGCATCAGACTGTGGGTTCAGGTGCTGTTTGCTGCAGGCCTGCAGGTACTCTGCCTCCAGAGCCACATGGGCAGCTCTCAGTTGCTCTAAGCTCTGAAACACAGGGCCCACAGTGTTGAGTGCCTTCTTTAAGGGCTCCATGCTCACACAATGGACAGGTGGGTCGTGGGGTGGGGGACTCACATAGGGCTTGAGAAACAGAGGCCGTGGCTGAGCACCTCTGGAGGCTTCTGCCCAGGGGCCACTGTCTGCCACCAGACACATGAAGCCTAGGAACCAGCCCCGAGACCACTGGCTCTTCTTGGGTAGACTACAGGACCCCGTAGTACCTGGTCAGATGCAGCATCAAATATCCTACCACTGTGTCCCCACAGGACACACACACACACACACACACACACACACACACACACACACACGCTCCTGATGTGAAAACTGTGCCACTCAGATAATAAAAGTCACTATCTTCCCCAGATAGTGAGGACTGAAGGCATTATTGTCTCACACTGTGGAGTGTGACTGGCACAGTAGCTCTTAGAGAAATGACTGCGTTCAGCACTCATTCCTTTCCACTTTAACAGACTCTCAGTGGGGGAGATAATTTGCCAGCGAAGCACGCAGATGTTACTTAAGCTACTGAAACTCACACAGCAAGTGAGCAGATTGTACAGGCAAGACTTGAACCCAGACCCACAGGGCTCCTGATCCTAAGTACTCTGCTGGGCCCTCATAGTAAACACAAACACAGTCATCAACATACGGCTGTTGGTCTCCGGCCTACTCGTCCCTTCCTACGTGAGCCTAGGAACAAACTGAACCTAGAAGGTAGTTTCTAGACACATCTCATCTCCCAGAAGCCCCCAGACTCCTCAGATATGGGGGAATGGGGATGGAGCAGAAGAAAATGATGTTTTAAATTGTCGTTTGTAGCAAGAAAGATGGCTTCACAGGACTTAGGCTAAGTAAAGACAGACAAGGACAAAGTCACATGTTCTCACTCACATGTGTGTGACATTTCTTGGGGTCCTCTTGCATCTGCTCCTCTAGGCTAGATTTCTACTTTTCTTCCCCTGTGCCCTTAACTGGGCCCTTTCCGATAGACTGCCAGGGTCTCTGTCCAATGGGAGAGACCCAGAAGAGATTCTGGAGAGGGGACAGGTACTACTCCTGGGTCTCTGCCACCTCTGTAGGGACCCTGATCTCACCCATGGCATGCTACCAGTCTTTCCACACACAAACTCCCAGGTCTGAGGGTCCCAAACACTCCTGCCTGGGGCCCTCACTGGCAGCAGGAAAGATGGGACACATCTGGCTATAACTACCTAAAACCTGAACCCAAAGGAAACGGATTTATCCACTGCAACAGTTTCATGGGAGAAATGATCCCCTTTCCTCTCTACCCCTGGTCCCCTGGTTCCAAGTTTCAGAAAACAACAGGAAAAGGGTTAGAAAGCAAATGCCCTTTTCTGGAGCTGGGGGAGGGGAGTCGGGTTACAGCAAGGCAGGGGTCGCAACTGGGGAGACATCAGCCCCAGCTCAGCCCTCGGCCACCCTCTGATGTGTGATTTCACTGTCACTTTTCTCTGGGGTTCTGCATCATCACAGTTAAGCAGGGTTAATGATCACAGCTCCCGTGGGCGTTTATGATGAAGAGATAAAACAGTGATGGCACATCACTGTGTCTGGGAAGCCACTATGGCTCAGCAAGGGCTCGCTAGCATGACACAGTAAGCAGCCGCTGGGGGTAGCAAAGAGGGGACTCAGAGACTCAACCCTGGGGACAGGCTCTCTGGCCACTGCTGGTGCAACTAACTCCCACATTGGGTAGCGGTACCTTGATTCGGTCCTGTGGTGGGAGGTGTCCTGCCAGTACCAGTTCCTTGAAGGACTCCACCTAGACACAGGAGGGAAAGAAGATGCTCTATGAAGCTGAGCCCCGTGCTGACCCTCACACACTCGGCCACACTGGGTTGGGTCAGGTGGCAAGGGCTGGGCTACCTTCAGAATGTAGGGTATCTTTCCAGCAGAGAGGTGGGTACTGGAAGTAGATTCCATCTCTGGCCTTAGCCAGGACAGCCCTGGGAAAAATCTAGGAGGTGCGCGTATGTGGAGGAAGGCCTATGAGGGACCTTGCCTGCAGTCTGCCTGGTGGGAGGAACAGCACTCGTGCCAGTCTGAGGAACAGTATGCAGCCACGAAGGAGGGCTCATGGGATATCCCCATCCACAAAGGCTCCAAGACCTATTGTTCAGGGCCAAATAAAGGTAAGGGCACCACCTGGGGTGTACTAAAGGGAGATATAGGATGCATCTGTGTATGTCTCACAGCATCCGTGGGGAACAGTTCTAGGAGCCCTAGCTGAGCAAGTGGCAAAACAGGGGTGCCGAGTCTCTTCTATAAAATGGTTTCTCCAGCACCTGCTTAGTCCTCTGTGGGCGGAGAAAGGCCTCAGCCCTGGGAGAGTCCACAGTGTCAGTCTATAGCTTGGGGCATGGCACAGTGGTGGAATGGATCTGAGTCCTGTCCCTGGCACCACAGACAAAAACAATAATAGTTAAAATAGAAACTGAAGCTGAGCATAGTGGTGCCTGCCCTTATTTCCAGCATTCAAGAAGCAGAGGCAGGAGGATCCCTGCAAGTTCCAGGCATATTTATTAGGGAAAACTAGGGTAAACCGAAACAGAGGAATTTATATAATTAAATTGCATGTCACTCATATAATACATGAAGTACAAATGTAATAGCTACATATCCAATACAATTAAATGTTTTGTGGAAATTAAAATGTAAAAATGGGGGAAATCAATTGTAGTAATACATATTCTATTTTAAATTGCATTTATTAAATGTGCATGCACATGCATGGACTGTGGACACATACACTTGTGTGCATGAACATCCATGTTGTACATGTGGAGGTCAGAGGACAAGATTTAGGAGTCAGGTCTTCCCTTCTATAGTGTGTTCCCTTGGGTTGGAACTCAGGTCACTGGGCTTGGTAGCCAGCACCCTTTCCTGCTGAGCCATCTTGCAGGCCTGTCATAATATTTTTTATTTGATCACAAGTATCATTTAATCAGTTTTAAAAAAAATTACCAATGAGTCCTGAGAGAGATTTTATTGTTGTTGTTGTTTGGGGTTTTTTTGTTTTGTTTTGTTTTGTTTTTTAACACAGGGTCTCACTCAGTACCCTAAGCTGGCCTTGAATTCATGGTGACCTCTGAGGTGCTGGGAATTCAGGCATGAGCTACCAGCCTGTGAGAAGGCTGAAAGTCTCATTTGATCTGTCCCTCAGTGTGCTCTGCACGCTCAGCACACCCTTCCCTCAAGCTATCCTATGACAAGATCTAAACAGCCCGGTAAAGGCCAGTGGCTCCCAGGCGGGCCAGTGTGGCTCTACATGGCGTGCTAGCCATGCCCTGCTCCTGCTCAGTGTGACCTGACTACGGAAGAGAGATGCTGTCCCGGTTACAGGACCAAGAATGGTGGCGATGAAATGACAGACACTGCTGTGCCACAGAGGAGCCAAAAACACCAGGGGAACTCCACGATGTCAGACACGAAGGAGGAACTCGGCTGAATCAGCTCACATGGCACGTCCTGAATAGACAGACTACAGAGAACACGAAGGGGAGTGGGTGCTGGGGCTGGAGGGTGGGACGGTCAGGGCTGCCTTCTGGACTGCATCTTGCTGACACGGACCTTGGTGGTGCAGGACCCTGCCACAGGAAAATGCGTGGCCGCTCACATGTGAAATGAGTGGAAGTTGTAGGGTAGCGTGAGTGTGAATTAGATCTCAGTAAAGCTGTTGCCCTACCCCAAGCCCCACAGAGGAAGTAAAAGAATGGTGGCAGCGGTTGCAGAATTGTTTTTTCAGACAAGGCAATGTACTGATTGTGCTCATATTTTTGTAATGGAGAGCAGGAAGCTCAAAGCCCAAGGTGTAATTTTGGCTGAGGGCTTGGGGCCCAACTGAACATCTTGTTTACTGGCTTTGAGCTAGCTTAATTTATTTTTCTCTATGTGGACTTCCCCTCTGCCCCAGCTCCCCTACTTCCGTTTTCAGAATGTGGTTAAGGCGTTGCATCTTCACAAGTCTCTCCAGACACCTTTGGAACAAAGCCAAGTGTGAAGTTAGACAAAGACCTGCAGGCAACTCTGAGATGGAGCGTTGGCTGAAAAACCAACCAAGAATTGACGTTGGTAATGAACGAACAAAGAGGAGGCAGTTTGTCACAGAGAGAAAAATATTAGGGAGGTCAGAGAGAGCTGCGGGTCTCCCCGTGGACAAACATGAGACTCCGCCAAGCCTGCTTGGAGGAGCTGTGACAACAGACAGGTTGCTGCAGCTTTATCCTGGGTGACAAGGAGGCTGGGTCACGTGGTACCTGAGAGCAAGAGGGATGCTCAAGCTCCTGGAAGGCTGAGTTAGTCCACGTGGAGGTGAAGCAGAGACTTCTGGGGCTGGTGGAAGAATCTCACACAAGGCCCCATGCCCTTGGGATGAGGGGTCCTGGGGGACAAAGCTGGGGTTTACTCACCTTGGCCAGGAGCTGGCTGGCCTGAGAGGTCAGTGCCTGGGTCTGTCCCTTGGAGGGCTGATCCGTGGCAATGTCCTGGCTCTGAGGAAGTCGCCCTGGAGTAGCCATGCTGGGGGACGAGGAGGGACTCAGGTCTGCTCGTGGGGACGACCACCCTGGAATACACAGCCGCTGAACCCTGGGGTTGAGAACGGTCTCCCAGGCCACTGAGGCTGAAGGCCTGAGGCACCTCAGACCACCCCATCACCAAGCCATAGCCTGGCCCTTTCTGGCTACCTTCACTTTAGCTCAGGAAGAGGGCTGGCCACTACGATGCTCCACTCCCAGAGAAAATGAAGCATGGATCTACCCTAGAGCAAAGCTGAGAGGTGGTGGTGCTGGACCTAGGGGGTGGTTCTCAGTTACAAGTACGGACTCTATTCAGGGAGAAGCAGGTTTAAATCCTGGCTCTTTCCTTTCCAAGCTATGTGACCTTAGCATGCCTCTGTCTCTCTGAGTCCCAGATCTCCCAGCTGTCATGGGGTTATAAAAGGTATGGTCCTCACCAGCTCCGTGTGGGAACTCACTAGAGGCCATATGTGTCCACACCACAGAGCCAGGAGACCGGGTAGCTTAACTAAGGCTCTACTGAGGATGTTGAGCTTGGTCAAGTCAGTTGGCCCAGAGGGCCTTGACACTCTACTCTGGCTGTAAGCCACTGCCATCCAGGGTGGGCCAAATGTCTTCCATGAGCAGGAGGGTGGCAAAAGCCCTGACTTCTTCCCCAACTCACCTCTGACCTCAGAGGCCTGTGAGTCCTGCGCAGGGCCAGGCCACCACTCTGCGGATCTGGGTTGCGGGATAGAGAAGGACAAGACCTTGCTTCCTTGTGGCATTGACGCAGAGTGGATGCTCTGAATGGGCTGGGGCAAGTCTGAATACAGGTGCACCTAAGGAAGAGAGAAGCAAGGAGAGAGGAGCCAGGTGGGGACAAGCTCTTGGGAAAGAGGCCACAATGAGTCAGTCAGGCTTCATCTGTCCTCCACACAGGAGCCCCATACTCACCCTGGTAATCACGAATACCATTTTTCAGTGGAGCCCAGATGGGGTTGAGGACTTACTAGCCGCCTCCTCTTTACAGAGGTGCTAGAAGGGAGGCAGGCAGGGACTACTTTCTCCATACAATACATCCTGCACACAGCCTCCCCTCCCTCCACTGCTCCCAGTTCCCATCCCCACCTCCCCTCTCCCTCAGATCCACTGCTCCTCCATTTCTCTTCAGAAGAGCAGGCCTCCCAGGGATATCAGTGGAACACGGCATAACAAGTTACAGTAAGACCAGGCACAAACCCTCATATCAAGGCTCGATGAGGCAACCCAGAAAAGAGGACTAGAGTCCCAAGAGCAGGAAAACGGTCAGAGACACCCCCACTTCCACTGTTAGGGTCCCACGAAAACCCCAAGCTAAACAGCCACAACACACATGCAGAGGACCTAGAACACACCCATGCAGGGTCCATGATTGCTGTTTCAGTCTCTGTGAGCCCCTATGAGTCCTGAATTCCCAGAAGGTAAGTCCCAAGAGATCACCAGCCAAGTACCTGCATCACAATACCACGTTGGCCCCAAAGCCCACGCCTTTACACTGGTAACAATAATTGTTACTAATAATATTTATTATATGTATCCAATACATATTTAATAATCATTAACATTTTAACGAAATATTTCCAACATCTGTATTGATGATAATAGTAAATACCAAATGGCTGTTTGACTCAATGAAGGAGATAGCACATGCACAGAGGAACCCTAAGAATTGTGCTCTGCCATTGAAGATGGTATGGGCGGCTTTCTGGGAGGCAGCTGATGAAGAAGCACATCGGAGGAGGTCAGCAGGAGGGAAGCCAGGTTCCAAGCTGGGGTGTGAATGTAGTTGGGAAGCCAGGGTCTGCTTTTGTATGCAGGGGTTCAGTGGCCGAAACCATGAGGAGCCATCAATGACAGCTTTCACTGCACAGCAGCCGAGTAGGGCAGCCCTGACTGAGGCTGTGCAAGCCACAGCTGACAACACTCTGGCTAGCTTAGCTTAATATACGTGTTCCAGAGCCAGAGGCCAGGCTCAGACTCAGGCTCCGTTATGGTACACCTCTGAGTTCTACAGCGGATGGCACAGCTGGCATCTCCATGCATGAAGTGAGTGCTTAGTGAAAGGCAGCTGTCACTGTGGTAGTCTGAAAGAGAATGTCCCCCATAGTCTTGGGATCTGATCACTTGGTCCCAGTTGTTGACGGTTTTGCGTAGGACTAGGAGGTGTGGCCTTGCCGGAGGAAGTGCGTCACTGGGGTGAGCGTTGAGGTTTCCAGTGCCACATACCATTCTTAGTTTGCTCTCTTTGCTTCCTGCTTGTAGTTTATGGCATGCTCTCAGCTTGCTGTTCACCACCATGACTGTCTGCCACTGTGCTGGTGGTGGACTCTCATCCCTCTTGAATCATAAACCCAAAGAAATCCTTCCCTCTCTAAGTCGGTTGGTCATGGTATCTTATCACAACAATCACACAAGTACTAAGACGGTCCACCGTCACCATTGCCAACATCACTATCGTCATCACCATCGCCACCGTCATCACTGTCATCACCATCATCACCACCACCATCATCTTCACCATTACCTTAAACTCATCATCACCCCTCTATCTTGACTATCCTCCCTATCCTTGTGTGTATATAAGGTTGGCCAGTGAAAAAGAAACACTCCTATATAAGAGCTCAGGTGGGCTCTCCTCATTGCCCTCTGCCACCCCAGGATCAGAACTAAGCTGCTGAAGATGGGCCTGGCTTAGGGGTTCCACGGCCTCCAGACAGGAAGCCTGTTCATTTATGACATTCTTTGGGGCCTGGCTGTTCCAAGTGCAATTTGGTGACACTACCTCCCCCTCCTCTAGCCTGAGCTTCCCTAGCTGAGAACAAAGCTGGATTTTCATAATCCTCTGGGCCATCTGCTCAGCTCTGCCTGTGGGGCCTGCCCGTCAGCATCCCTTTCTTCCGGGAGGTGACCCAAATCCTAGGGGAGGCCCCACCCTCTTGAGTTCCCTGCCCACTGTGCCAAGGCCCCACCTGGGAGCAATGAGAACCTAGCAGCTTCTAGATTCAGAGGATGGAAACAAGGAGAACAGAGCCCTAGGCCTGGCTGTGCAGAGGAAGTTAAGGAGTAGGGAGAGGACTTAGCAACTGGTGAGCTGTTTGGGCCTGTCCCTGACATGACCTGCCTTCATGGACACAGTGGACTCTGCAGTGATACTCGGAGGCCTTTAGGACTATGTGCAGGGTGGACCAGTGAGTTCGGGAAACATCGGGTTAAACAAATGAGTATTCTGGGCACAGCTGTGGTCTCCAAGCCTTTAAAATGGTAATGAGCTTTATGAATGGGGCAGAAGGGAGGAGGAAAGGAGTGCTTCAATTCCTCTGAGCAGAGCCTTCCCACATACACTGAATCCCATCAGGAGCTTCTGCACCCAGAGTGGCAAGAGAACTCACTTCAAAAGGTGGTGATATCATCACCAATTCCTTTTGGGGTGGTTTGTGTCTCCTCACCTGTTTCACATCCCCCTAAAGCTGAGATGGGGGACAGAAGCTGGGAGGAAGTAGCAACAAGACAGCAAGTGGTGACATCGTCACAGACTCAGAGTCAGCATGCAGAATAAAGCCTACCCGTGACTCCTAACTAGTCCTGGTTCCCATGCTCCAGTCCTGGTTCCTAGATGCTCTTAGATCTAGCCTTGGCCTTCCCTGGCCAGCGTTTCTGGCTGCAGATCCAGTGAGTACTGGCTTAGTTTTGGCAAAGTAAGTGAGTCATAGGCCCTGTAGCCAGGGCTTTAAGGTCAAAACCTAGCTCTGGCACCTCTGTCTTGTGTGACAAGTTTCTTAACCTCTCTGTGCCCAGGTGTAAATGACTTAGGTTAGCAGTCAACAGTATCACTGATGGCTGTTCCTATCACCATGGCCTGCCTGTCTGAAGGCCTGTCCCACATACTGTGCCAGGGCCTGAGCTGGGCGTCCCAGACCTGAGGAAACTACACCATCCGGCAGGAACAGGCGCATGGGGGCATCCCCACCTTGGTGTCTCACACCTGCTATGAGACACTCCTGGCTTATCCTTGTCCCTGCAAGTCTGGGCCTGGACTCTGACTAGTTTATCCAATGTCAGTCTCTGTTCCATCAGACTGTGGTTCCTAGTTACTGAGTTCAGAGGTAGCCTAGGTATTAGGGTAGGTCCAGCCTTGTTCCCTCTTAGGTGGGCCTAGCCTCTCCTGCATTGTTCTGGACTCTGGACAGAATGGAGAGCTTAGCAAGGCCCTGGAGAAGTCATATTTACAGATCCACGGGAGAGGCAGAACGCCCTCGGGAGCCAGAACTCTCACTTACATGGGACACCTTCTGGTAGATAACATGAGGCTCAAAAGTGAGGCATCTTGGCCCTGTCCCACTGTTCTCCCCTTCAGGTTGGGACCAGGAGCTGTGCCCTATCACTCCTGGAGTAGCAATGAGGTTGGGGTGAAGGAAATTATAGGCCATTTTCAGTGCAATCTCCTGAACAGAACTCACATTTCTCTTGAGCCAAAGAGTTATCTTTCTAGAGAGCCACAGAAGGTCTGATCCCAACCCCCCAACCTCGCTGTAACCCAACAGATGTGCCCAGGAAACCACATGGGAAGGGTTCTGTCCGCACCTGGCAGGGCCACAGGTGTGGAGACAGAGAACTCGGGTCCTATAACAGGCCCCTTTCATCTTTCTGTGGTTGCCTTCATGTGTTCCCCAGAAGTGGCTGAAGACAGGAGGTCAGCACATGGCAGGGGGACCTTGGAGTGGGGAGCATTCTTCAGGAAGGTGGGGTGCTCTCCTTATAGGGGAACATCCAGATCAGGGCATACTGCATGTCTGAGCAAACAGAAATATGAGGAAAGCAGGAAGCCACAGGGGCCTCAGTTGGCCCACTTCCTGCCTCACCCTGAGAAAGCGGAAGGTCCCAGCTCATTGTTCTCAGCCTCCTTTGGAGACAGGTCAGAGGGTGGGAGACATGCTGCCCAGTTCTCAGTGTGGATGAGCTCCTCCCTTCAGGACATTCCACCTGTCACACATGGGGTGCTCAGTTCCAGCTGGATAAAAGGAGGCTTTGGGGGAGACACAGGAGAAAGGTGAAAGTGTGATCTCTCTTGGAAACATGGGGCATCAAAGATTAAGCAGAAAGTCTGGGCTACAGCCTGGAAGGTCATCCAGCTGGCTAGGAATGGTGTCAGGAGTCAGCCTGAGCAGTCATACATCAACGTCACAGAGGAGGAGACAGCTTTTGGTGACATTCCTGGGTACCACAGGCTCCATCACTTAAAGACATTAACAGTGGGGGGGGGGTGCCGAGGGGTGGCTAAGTTATGCCCAGGTCACAGGTCAGTACATTGAGTATCAGGATGCAAAAGCCAATAGCCTTTCTTTAAGACCCTGGGGTAGGCCATGACCCTAAAGGAGCCTGGCTCTTGGCTCCATCCACCCAGCTCAGCCCCTTCCAGCCAGTACCTTGGCCCCAAGGCGAAGCTGGTCAATAGTGTTCTCAGCCTCCGCATACTTGGTGAGGAGTTTGTGATAGTCCTCCTGTAGAGAAAAGATGCAGTCAGCCCATCAAGACTGTACTTGATCCCCAAAACCCAAGTGAAAGTGCCGGGTGTGGTGGCAAACGTGCGGAGGCAGAGCCAGGTGGACCACTGAACTCTGGCTACCATGCCTAGCTTGGTGATCACCAGATAAAAGTGAGACCTTGTCTACAAAACGAAACAAAGTAAGTAAGGTGGAAAAATTGGGCAGACACTCAAGGCTGACTGCTGGCCTCCATATGGAAGCATCCACATATGCACACACACATACATGAACATCCGCATACACACATGCATAAGCACACACAAGGGACAGAAAAATAATTAAAAGTCATAGTCCTTATCTACTCAGGATCACTGGCCTTACACAAAACCCAAGTAACTCACTGTAGGGGAAAAAACAAAACAGATGCCATTGGTCGCCTGGGATGCAAGGAAGAGAGAGAGAGAGAGAGGGAGGAAGGGAGAAGAAACAGAAAGGGGGAGGCAGAAGAAAAAGGAAAAAAGGGGAGAAGAAACAGAGAGAGGAGGAGGGAGAAGAAACAGAGAGAAAGAAGGAGAGAGGCAGGCTAGAAATGGCTCAGTGGTTAAGAGGACTTGCTGTTCTTGCCCAGGATCCCTGTTAGGTTCCCAGCATTCATAAATGGATCATAGCCATCTGTAGCCACTGCCATGGCATCTGATGGCTTCTTCTGACCTTCTAAGGCACCACACACACACACACATACACACACACACACACACACACACACACACACACACACACACACGGTGCACACATATGCATGCAGGCAAAACATTTATACACACAAAATAAAATGAATAAACCTAAAAAGGAAAGAAGAAAAAGCACATGATATTTCTCATTTTCCCACATTTATAAGATCTTGGTTGCCTCATGGTCTATGAGGGAAGATGTTACTTATTCATTTATTTTTAGACAATTTATAGCAATGAATGTAAAAGGAGGCAATATCAGAATAATACTATTTTTTTTTTCACTTTGAAGGAAAGTCTGGGGCAATGCAGTGATGGCTGGGGACTTTGCAGGTCAGGAGGAGAGGCTGCAAGGGCCACATCGCCTGAAGGAAGCTCACAGTACTGACTGTGATAGCTCGTGGTCCAGTGGAAAGACTACAAGCCCAAACCCCAGCTCCGATCACACCGATGGTCAGGGGAAAGGGAGGACATGCAAGCTCCCCTGAGACAGGGCGTGTGCTCCAGTAGGGTGCAAAATGTGGGTGACTACTGGGAGGTCAAAGGAGCAAAGACAGACAGACAGACAGACAGACAGACTGTTAAGAAATGCAGGAAGAGCTGCAGATACTTGAAGGGCACCTGGGCCTTTGTGCTGCCCACGAGCCTCATCTGACTCTAGGTAGAAAGAACAAGCCACAGCCGAGTGTGTGTATGTGTTGGGGGGGACCTATTTCTGCCTCTGCACAACCCTGGGGGTAAAAGCAGAGCTAAACACAATAAAATACAAAATGCCTGGATTACCTGGAGCTTTGCTTAATTCAGTGGGGATTGTGGGAGTGGGGAAGAGGTTGAGCTGCTTCGTGGGGATGTTGCATGGTGTGTGGGGCGTGTCCATTAGACTGTTTTCCTTCCAGAATGTTAGATTTATTTTTCATAGCAGGGGTTGAAAATAAACAGATAATCCCTGAAGCATAGACATGGTCACTGCTCTGTTGAGACATGAGTCTCTAGTCCAAGCTAGCAAGGAACTTATTGCTATGTAGCTGACGATGGCCTAAGAGATCTGATCCACCTGCTTCTATCTTGTGGGCTGCTAGGGTTAAGATGTGCACCACCATGCCCATGAGGTGCTGGGATTGGATGTACAGCTTTCTGCAGGTGAGGCAAGCACCCTACGTAATGTAGATCCCCAATCTCTCGCACTGCTCCTGATCAAAATGCAGCGGCTGCCTTCAGCACAGCGGTAACTCCCCCTCCACCAGCAGGGGCTCCAGGCCAGAGCCGAAGCCTCTCTAGCCAAGCGCCTGGGTGACATACAGGCAGCAGTCTTGCTTACCTGGAGCTGATGAACCAGCTCAGTGGCTTGTTCGGGCGTCTGGAACTCCTGGGGCACTCTGGCGATGGAGTGGGCAGAAGGGTCCTCGGCTAGACATGTCTCACTGTTACTCAGCAGTATATCCCGAACAATCTCAGCTGGCGACTTGAAGATTAGGGGTTTGGTAGGGCCTTGTTGCTTATTGTGGCCTCTGGACTTGGGGGGTCGGTATTTCTCATCTTTGGGAAACCTCACCCTGGGCTCCACCTTGGAGAAGTCAGGGAGTGGGTAGTTCAGGCGCCCCCGGCCATACTTGGTGGCATCTGAAGAGTGGCCAGCCAGACTGGCTCCCTGATTGTGCTGTGACACTTGCTTTACTGCTCTAAGCCGAGTGCTTATGGGGCTGATAGAGCCAGTAAACCGTGAGGGCAGTGGCTTAGGTGATGTCTTAGTTCTTTTCCAGCCTTGGTCCTCAGGCCGAGAGCTGGGCAGGCTGGTGGTTTCTTGCCCCCATGTGCCTGCAGAGCGCTGAGAATTCTGGGCTGGTGCTGCTAAGGAGTCCCGGAATTCTGTGGGTGTTGCCGGAGCAACGTCACCTCCATTTCTGTCATCTGTCCATGGGAGATTGTGGTGTGGACTCTGTGGCAGGGCTTTAGCCAAGGTGACAGGCTGGAGGACATCAGTATCTCCTTCCCAGATAGAATCAAGGCTGTCACTACGCTGATTGTGGCTTGTGGTCCCACTGCTCCAAGACTTTGTATGGCTGTGTTCAACAGATGGATGGGCTTCAGGATGCTCTAAGGGTCTGTATGAACTGCCTTGCCTGATAGTGGTCACCCAGTCTCTGGCTGGTCCCTGTTTTGGAGCTGCAGGGTTGGAATCTTCTTGGTCTTCACATTCCAGCTCTATGCAACTCTCTCCAGCTAACTCTACCCCAGAGCTCCCAGGGAACTCATCCAGCTCCTCTTCGGACAGGTCCAACTGTTGATTGTTTGTGGAGAGCCAGGGCAGAGGCATGGTGGAACCCTCCGGGATGCTCACACCATCAGTTTCGGTCTCTGGAAAGACAGGTCATCCATGCTGAGCATGTGTGGGTCTATAATGCCACTGGAGTCACTTTGTGACCTCAAGATGTGAGGATGGCAAGAACCTGGAGGCACCCACAGAGCCAGGTACTTGTGGGACTCCTGCCCTACTCACCTCAAAGTCCTCCAAACTCAAGCCTTAGACGGAGTCTCCCCAAATCGTGTTCCGTTTCTACAAGTGGCAGCCCATCCCAAATGTCCCTGCCCTGTCCCGTTTACCTCCTACAGAGGGACGAATGCAATAACCACTTAGTCACCTACTACTCATCCTCGTTCCACCACCTGGAGTTTCATCACGTCTCCCTGTTGTTGCCAGTATGACAGCAGAGCCTTTCCTGTGGTCCTGGGGTCCCTGCTGCTCCAATACCCGTAACTCACTGACCCTGAAACGCACTGTGCTTGCATTCATCCTCCGCTAGGTTCACCCCCTTTATCTTGTAAGCTATTGGTCCTTCAGGCTGCATCTCACTCTTGACCTTCCCAGGGAAGTTCTGTAGCTCACTGATAAGGTCAAACTCTCCTTCTGCAGGCTCTCATCAATCAGGAGCCCTCTGCAACATAAGCTACTGCAGTGAAAGCTGTTTGTTCAGTCTTGGGATTACTTTGTCAGCACAGGTCACTGTAACATGGCAAGCTTCCTGGGGGCAAGGGCACTGGCTGCTTTTGCACTCTATTGCATTTGAAGAGCAGGTGCTCAATACTTGTTTCTTGATGGAGTAGAAAGAGAGGGAAAACGAAACTGTGCACGGCTTCCAAGAAATAGGTAGATGCTGTAATTGTTCTGTAGTAGATACAACATACATCTAACCATCCATCTATCTTTTCAAGCATCTATCCATCCTTCCTTCCTTCCATCCATTCATCCATCCTTCCTTCCATTCATTTTTCAAGCATCATCCATCCTTTCAAGCTTCCTTCCTTCCTTCCTTCCATCCTTCCAAGCATCTATCCATTCATCCATCCATCCTTCCTTCCATCCATCCATCCATCCTTTCAAGCATCCATCCTTTCAAGCATCCATCCATACATGCCTACATCCATCCTTTCAAGCACCCACCTATCCTTTTAAGAGCTTGCTTTATCAACCATCCATCCACCTACTCATCCTTTCAGGCATTCATCTATCCATCCATCACCCAGCCACCATCCATCCATGCATGCATCCATCCTGCAGGCACCCATGTTTTCATCTCTGTCTGTGATAGACCCAGCTTTTCATGAGACACACTGTGTAACATTGCACAGACTCTGCTCTGGATGGAGGTGTCTTTGTCATAACCCCATCTGGCTTGCTGTCCAATACTGTTCTTCCCCCTTACTCTTGACACTACATTTCTCTTGGCTACTTAAAACTGGCTTCACCCAATCACTCTGTTTCATAGCAGCACATCCAAAGCCAAAGCTCTGAGATGCTAAGTAACTGGCCAAAGGATCACATGATGTTTCAGAGCAGTCCTGGACCTGGAACTTGAGCAAGGGTCTACCACCAGAGGTCATGCTGGGGCTGTACTCATTCCAGGATCATCTGATCCCTGTCTGGGAACTATGAACAAGTCGCTGATCCCTGGTAGTTCTTATTTAAACTTGAGACGTATTCCTCTTACCTGCAGGGAGTTCTGTTGAGGAAGGGAAGTGGGCCACAAGGCATAGGAGTGGCTGTTATATCATACCAAGTATCTCTTAGGAAGCGGCAACTCTGCCTGTTGCCTTAAACACCTTAGTCTCCATCCCCTCAGAAATATATTTGTTTTGTTTCTGGTTTTTTTTTTTTTTTTTTTTTTTTTTTTTAGAGGCTGGGGAATATAGTTCAGCCTTAGAACATTTGAATGGCTAATAGAAGGCTCAAGGTTCAATTTCAGGTAACACACACACACACACACACACACACACACACACACAGAAGAAAACAGCTCCCAAGCGGACAGATGTGGCAGGCATAAAACACTAAGAGTAACGGCATAAGTGGTTTCTCTATGGCCTAAGGGTTCTATAGATTTAAGAGTCTGATATGTGCATGTCCTAGTCACAATCCAGTAGCGGAGCCTCCACACTTCAAACCCTTCCTGTTCCCAATGCTGTTGTCATGCCCATTTCATAGATGGGGAAACCAAAGCTAGGGTGGAGAAGGGTCTTGCCACAGGAGAAGCTGAGAAGTCCCTCCACACTGGTCTCCTGGTGATAGCAGCAGAGTCATTGGTAAGGATGAAGAATGCCACCATTCCCTCTGCTGCCTGGGGTTTAGACTAAGCCTCAGCCCTAACACAAGCAATTCAATTTACTAAAGACAGTATGGTGGCAAGCATGCAAAGCTGACTGGATGGCATTGCCTCTGTAGTATTCACCACAGCACAAACCAGAAGCTGTAGCTGCTGAGCAGAAGAGACTTGCCCAAAGGATTATGGGAGAGCCCCATTCCATGCAGATCTTAGGAGAGACTCATGGAAGAATACTGGAAGAATGAGGAAAATATTCCTAGCTACTAAGATAACAGCAAAGCAAGTAACAGTGGAGTATTCTAAAATATATTTGTATTTTTATATAATACTTGTATATTGAAGAGATGGCTCAGAGGTTAAGAGCACTGGCTATCCTTCCAAAGGTCCTGAGTTCAATTCCCAGTAACCACATGGTGGCTCATAACCGTCTATAGTGAGATCTGGTGCTCTCTTCTAATGTGCAGGCACACATGCAGGCAGAATGCTATATAAATAATAAATAAATCTCAAGAAAACAAAAAGACATCACTTGGGGAGGGGTAGAATAATGAACAGTTTTAACATTTACCTCTGATTTGCTCACATTTTCCAAAATGTACAAATGTTTCCAAAATGTAACATTAAATTATACAATTTAATGTTAAAAAGTAGAATTTAAGAAAGGGCTGTAAAGACGCCCCTCTTTTCTAGCTCTTATTGGAGGACAGGCTCTTTGGGGAACATGTTACCACTTCAGACAAGAGGAGTCCTCACCTTCTCCAGAAGGCTCTTCAGAGTCTTGCGTGTCTGGGTGCCACTCCCGGGGTGGCGGTTGCTCCTGTGCCTGCTGGAAGTCCTCCAGGAGCTCCGGGCTGGTGGCTTTGTGTCCCCAGCCCTGGTCACCGCTTCCATCCGCATCCTGCTCCTCGGCCCAAGCCCAGCGCCGCCGTCTGTGGGACCCTTGCCCCAGGACTGGCTCAGCCCAGTGCGCCTCTGTCCCTGAGCTGGCCATGGCGCCTGGCCTTGTTTCACCTGGGCCACTTCATCTTTGAGACTGAGCTGCAGCTGGAGGTCCAGGTCACAGATGGCAACTCTCAGCACCAGCCATCCTGCCTGTGTCCTGTTGGGCACAACCAATGGATCATGTCAATCCTCAGGGTCTCCCATCGTCCATCCAGGAATTTACCAGACGGAGTCCCAGAGGCAGTGGCCCCTTGGTGTGACCTTGGGTGACTCGCTGTCCCCATCTGTCATCAATGAGTGAGGATTCCGCTCCCTTTAGGACACAGGGTAAAGAAGAGCTAGCAGAAAGCACACCGCAAAGCAAGAGTCCCGTAAATGCCAGCTACTGTCACTGCACACCTATTTCTGTCCCCAGGTACCAGGCACAGGCTCTGCTCACAGCACTGACTGCGCACGTTAGCAAGCAGCCACTGACAGCTGAGGAGTGGTAAGGGCACCCTGGTGGTATCACCTGAAGCCCAGGAGGTCAGAGGGTACTACATGGTTTCCTCTGGCCACGGGACATGAGTTCAGGTTGAAAGTAGGGCATGCTGAGCTGGTTCCAACGCACAAACTAATTGAAAGCAGGCATGCAAACAAATACGGCTCCACACATCTTCCAGCAACCATGTTCACAACACCCAGGCATCCATCCATCTGCATGCAGAAACAATTTGTGGTTTCTACATACGACACAGTATTTATTCAGCAGCAGAAAAGAATGGGAAGGCAGCAGAAAAAGGAATGAAGTCCCAATGTGTGACAATGCGGGTAAACCACCAAAGTTCTATGTTAACTCTGAAAAGCCAGACACCAGAGTTCGGTGTGTCTGAGTCTGAGGATTGCAGTGTGCAGAGCAGGTGAGTCCACAGAGGAAGGGGGCCGGGTGGCTGCTACAGTGATGCCGGGGAGGGGAGAAGGGTCCCTGGATGCTCAGTGCACACAGGGCTTTCTTGAGGGAGGAATGTTCTGAGAGCTGAAGAGACAAGGCAACCGTGTCATTACGTACACTAAGTGCTGCTGAGTAGCTAGTGTCATATTATATAAATTTTGCCTCAAAAAGGAGATACTAGAGCACTGCAGGGGTCCTGTGAGTACAGAGGCTGGGTGACTGACATCAGCGAGTGTTGGGAGGTGGGGAGCCCAAACCCAGCAAGCTTCTCATGACATCCTCAGCAGCTGCCTGTGTCTCTCAGGCAGAGAGCCCAGCCAAGTGGCAGGGGAGAAGGTCTGCCCTATTGCTCTGGGACAGTGAACCAGAGTGAATAGCTTGGCCACAGAGGGACTGTGAGAAGGGCCCTGGTGGCAGGGGAGGGTAGCCCAAGGAGAGCTCCCTTCCCTTTCTCCCTTCACACTCTTTTTCTAACACTTTGCTGGTATTTCCTGTGTCAATTGTTGTACTACCGGGTTCAGAAATCCAGCCTCAGGATAAAGCACAGAGCCTAGGAGCTGCCAGCCACTCAGTTATCTATGAGAACTATGGCTGTTCATACTTAGTTTATACAAGGGTCAGGCAATTGAGGCACAGAAAGGGGCCTTTCCTGGAGCAGCACGGGAGTGAGGAGCAGACTGGGGTAGAAGCCACTGGTCTCTTGGGACTGGCCTGGCCTCTTCTATACAGGCTGGTGTAGGTCTCCAGCCTCTGGAGTTGGCCAGTTGGAGCTGTCCTGGAGCCTCTGGGGCTCTTGGACCCTGCCTTCAAGACATAGTTAGGAAAAGTCATCAGCCAGCTATTTCTAGACTCGGTTCCCCTGAGACAGGGTTGCTTGGGAAAGCCTGGCTTCACAAAAACCAGGCGGTGACACAGGCTAACTCTATAGCCATGACTCTGTCTCCGGAGATGAGGGCTCAAAGGCTTTTCTCTCTTTGACCCTTAGCAAGGCCTCCTCTGTCCCACTCCCTGTAGAACCCCTAAATTTCCTGCATATCTTCACACTGGCCCCACCCTGCCAGGGTGACATATCTGCCTTCCTGTCTCATTAGCAAGACCAAGGTTCAGAGAGATCAGTGAGTCAGCCAGGATCCCCTGGTCAGTGAGTATGATTACAAGCCGTCAATCTTGGCCTAGGGCTCTGTTCGTTGGTTTTGTTTTTGTAACCACATATCTCCAACAGTAAAAATCTGCACACCTACACCTCCATGCATTCCTCTAACTGTAGATCCACATAACAATATACTATCATATTTTATAACAATACACAAACACCATGTACTTAAAAATGAAGCCAGAGAGGGCTGGTGAGATGGTTCAGCAGCTGAAGACACTTGTTGCCAAGACTGAGGACCTGAGTTCGATCCCTGGGACCCACATGATGGGAAAGAATTGACTCTCAAAAGTGCCATGACCTCTACATATGTCCTATGGTAACACATGTGCACACACACAAATACACAATAATTAAATGTGATTTTTAAAAAGGACGAGTAGAAAAGTTAAGTCAGAGCTGGAACATTTTTCCTGCTGGCCTCACAACCCAAATGACCTGAGTTCAAATCTCCAGAATGCACACAGAAGCTGAGTATGAGCAGGTGTAATTCCAGCATGCCCCTACCAGGAGATGGGAGTCAGACAGGAGAATGTTGTCAGCTAACCTGGTACAGGCAGCAGGTTGGAAAGAGAGACAGTGCTCCAGGTTGTCCTCTGACCTTGGATGCATGCAGCGGTACACACGTTCCCCCACCCAAAATAGACTGTAAATCTAAGTTCAAGTCCCTCGTTCCCATAAAGAGCAAGCATCCCTGCTTAAAATCCATGGTGATGGGAGAATCTAGACCTTGAGCGCGCGTGAGAATTCTCTATGTGTGCACGATCCCGCTCCGTCAGACTATTAAAACAAGGACCTCAGCAAGGCCTCTCCCCGCTTTTGGCTGCCAGTGTGGAGGTGTAAAAGCGTGGGAGGTAGAGCTGTGGCGTGTGCTTTGCTGACTTTTGAAATGTTATTTTTTTTCTAGCCCACCACAGAGCAGCCTGCCCAATCACAGAGACCTCGATGTGCAAAAAGAGGAACAGCCTATTTTCTGCAATGACTCAGTGGCAGAAACCTCACTGTTGTCAGTGGAGCCTGCACGTCACAGGCAACAGCGGTCAGTGGCTACAGCTTTGCGCCCGTTTCTCAAGTGCCTCTAGTTGTGAGCATTTCCTGAGAAAGATGTTAGTCTTCTGTGCAAGCCTCAGTGCCATGGAGCCTGGGACTGGCCGGTCAGGTAGTCAGTCAGCAAACATACACCATTGCCAAATATGGGCCAACGTCAGGCAGAGATGAGTTGTAAAAGAGCAGCAGGCTGAGCCCCAGGCAAGCTGATTCCAGCCCTGGTGTTAGTGGCACTCAAGGCACATGGCTGGCTGGCTGCTCGTCTCTGTAAAGGGTGCTATGCCCATCACCCCTGGGTCTGGTGAGCACACTGGCCTGAGATGCGCCATTTAACTTAGAGGTTCTCGGCCCCTAAGATTAAAAATAATAATAATAAGCTTGCAAAGATTCCACCTGCCATGGAGGATGAAATCCAGAAAAGCCACTAAAGAGAGTTTGGGGACAGCTTTAACAGACCAAGCAAATCTAGGGGAGAATGAGGAAGGGCATGCAGGACAGAGGAACAGCATAGACAAAGGTCAAGCAGAGCCAAGTGCCCGGCCCTCGAGTGCCACAGATGGGCAGGGAGGTCCCAACAGCCTCAGAGGGCAGCAGTGAAAGTGCCATATGAACTGTGTCCTGACCCAGGAGGACCAGCCCCTATACAACTAAGTCCTGCTGATGGTTGGGCTGTTGGGCTAAGGGTCCCCACCTGCCCCAGAGAAACTGTACCCCACCTGAGAAGGCACCAAACACCCTTTTCTGTGCTCTTGCCTCCCACCCAACACCCGTACAGACCTGCTCCCCATGCTCTAACACACTCCAATGGCTCTGTTTAGTTCCTGCCTAAGCAGTGCTCAGTCCCCTGCTGCTGCTTCACATAAGCAGCTGTGGGGTGTGTGTGTGTGTGTGTGTGTGTGTGTGTGTGCCTGTGTGTGTGCGGAAAGAGTGAGTTGTTCCTGCCTCGGGTCATTACAAAGCCTGAAGGCCCTTCCCTTATGCCACTCAACACACCAGGCTCCAGGGTGATTCTCACCCAGTGTGCCTTCACAACCTTCAGCTGCCTTGGCCCTCAGAAGCTCCATAGCCAGGGCATCCCCACCTTAACCTCACTCCAATGAGGAAACTGAGGCAGACACCTATTTTGGACAACCAGGAAGTTTAGAGAGGACTGATGTGGCTATTAAGCCAAGGCCATTGAACTTGCGGGAGCAGGAGGATGGTGGCAGGGAGGACCTCCAGATCAAGCTGCTGGGCCTTTCCAAAGGGTTGGGCTTTGAGGCTCTAAAGCAAGTTCGGATCAGCGGCCTGTTCACAGATGACTGGCCTTGGGCCTGCAGCAAGTAGAGATACCCAGTATGGATGTCCCCAGCCTGTCCCTGACTCACTCAAGCAGCCGCCAAGGAGGAACTAAAAAGGGGCCAGGCTACTACGGGCCCCATTTAGGTCCAAGCTGGCCTCCTGGCCACCAGAACATCCAGACGCTGTCCCTGTCCTTATGTGGGGAGGGGGCGCTGCCTCCGGGCCTGCTCTTCACTTCTGCGCATCTCCAGGGCCCTCAGCAACCAAAGTATTAACGTTGGGCACAAGATGAGCCCACCCTGGGCACAGAGAAAGACCAACGCTGGTTCACCAAGGAAACCAAATGAGCTCTGGAACTGGAAACTAGCATCCTGGAGTCCACTCTGGCCTGGGGGCTGGGCTCTGAGGGCTGGACAGGAGTGGCAGCAGCTGCGTAGCTGTGATTTCCTGGCTGGGCTGGGCTGACTGCCAGAGTTGTCCAGAGAGTCTATGACTGGCCCATCCAGAGGGAAGGCGGCTTCCCTCCGGCCCTCCTCCTGCCTCAGCTCCTTACCTCACTCGGACTACACCACCACAGAGCTGGACTGGGCTCAGGGGAGCTGCCCACCAGGTCTTTGTTTCAAACCTGGGGAGCCCCCTGCCTCCACAGCACCCTGGACCGCCTCCAGACTGTTCTGCCAGCCAGAACCGCCTCAGCTCACAGACAAGCATCGCTCCCCGCTTCTCCCCGCCCCTGCAGCTGAGGCCTTGCCTTGCCTCCTCCTCACAGGAAGCGCCCAGGCTGATTTCCTACAAGTGTTTGTGAAAAGGAGGGGGGTTGTCTTGCAGAGCTGGCGCCAAGAGCTTAACCCCTTGCTGGGCAAGCAGGAGGCTGCACTGATGAAGAGCTCATTGACTGACTGAGACCTTGGGCTTGGGACCACTTCAGGCACAACTGCGCTAGGACCAGCTGGGAGACAGAAGTCCAGAGAAGGCCAGCCGCTTGGCTAAGGTCACACTCATGCTGGACCTGGGAAGAGGAGCCTGCAGCTTCTCACACCCCCGCTGGGTCTCTCCAGCCACCAATGACCTTATCAGAGCATCTCCTCCCACTCTGTAGGCCTTAGTGCCCATCCTAACAAGGTGGACTCAGACTCAGTACTCACCCTTGTCCTTCCAGCTTTAATTCTGTCTCAGCATCTCAGAGAGGATTTCTAGGCTTCCGCTTACTATCTATGCCTGAAGATAGACACACCTGCATTGGAATTTTCTAGGTAATATGGAAGAGCTAGAGGATCACAGGAATGTCTCTTGTTGATTCCCTTCAAAGGCACCCAGAGGTGAAGGAACAGAATTATCTTGATGGCTAACCTGTCCCTCAGTTCACTTCTGTGAGAGGTGCATAGCAGGTGCTAGAAGCACCTGGCTCTTCACTCTGTAGTGGAGTGTGTAAGATCTCAGGTGTGCCAGAGGCAGAGTATGAGACACAGGCTGGTGACCCTCGGTCCAGGCTGCCCTGGGTATTTCTGAGGCTGAGAACTTACAGAACCAAGGAAAGCAGTTTCTAAGCACCAGTGGTTTCAGGTGCCAGATGCTAGATGTCTTCCTGGCTGAAGACACTGGGCCTGGGAGCTGAAGCAGGACCATCAGGAGGGTCTGTCTGGGTAGGGAGGCACAGTCACAAAAGGGACTGGAAGGACAGGGAGGCAAGGCAAGCCACAAGCTTGGCTGACACATTCTATCTAGAACATTCCAGAAAGGCCCGCTGCAAAGACCTGGAAGGGGAGGGGTTAAAACAATAGGATATGCTGTGAGAGGATTCTGGTGGCAGGGCAGATGGTACAGGAGGATCTGTCCTTCAGGCTGGAGCCGAGCACTCAAGAGGAAGCAGGAGCCAGGAACAAAGGAAGAGGCTGTAGGAGCCTGAGCCTGCCCCTGGCTCCCTACTCTACCCCTGCTGACCCAGAGAGTCAAGTCAGAAAACAGAAGAGACATGAGATCAACCCTCTGACATCCAGAGAGCCCTCAGAGGGCCTCAAGCCAAGCTAGCGGCCACCCAAGTGTGATGGAGAGAAGAAATCTTAGAGTCCATAGGCCAGGGGGTTCAATGTCAGCTTCACCTCCAGCTGGCTCGGTGACCTTGATGGCTCCACCACCAAGAGCCATAGTTTTCCTTTCTGCGGAGCAAGGCTAAACAGAGTGGTCAGTGCATAGGGGCTGCTGTCAATTCCATGACAGATGGCCCGCCCGGTGCAGTAGGGGACCTTAGGAGCCATTTCATCACCACAGCTCCTACCCCTGTTTTTAGAGGGGAGTCTCTGGTCTCCTCCAAGGGCCTGTGGCTGATGAGTGAATTAAATGAATGAAGTCTCTGAGGGCCAGCCACCAGTATCTGGCTAAGCCAGAGATAGCACCAAGGGCCTTCAACAGAGTAACCTCCCAACTCCTGTATCCCCGCCCCTGCCTTGTATCCACATCGGGGTGTGGAGCTCTCCCTGCAGCCCCCAGGGATGATGGAACACAGCCAAATCTTACCCAGGCCCTCCCTGCTGCTCTGGTGACCATTATGTGGAAGGCGGGCTTCCCTGACATCCTGTCACTCAGCCACCCTCCCAGGTCATTAATCCATCAGCTCCAGGTGGCTGCAGCTGCTGGCACACCCTTGGGCCTCTTTGAGAAGCAGCAACTAGTATTTACTGTCCTTCACCCTGCCACTGGGCCTTTCCTTCCCCCTCCTCACTCTTATCCACACGGGACTCCTTTCTGGGTTCTTAAGCCAGACTGGGTGGTCCACCTGGCCACCCATTCACTTCCATTTGCCAAATTTCCTAAACCTCACCAGACTCTGTCCCTGTCTGTCACCACACAGTTTCCAGAATCTTTGTCTCCTGGAGAAACACTCCCCACACCCAAGTGCCTCATGGGATCTTCTCAAACACAAGCTTTCAAACACAGCCTTACAAGCCTCTTGGGAGGCTTATCTACAGCACTAGGACAAACAGAGGCCACAGCTTGGTCATCCTCCCTCCCTCCCTCCCTCCCTCCCTCCCTCCCTCCCTCCCTCTCTCCTTCCCTCTGTGCTTGCCTGCTCAGGTCCCTGCCTCCTCATTGCCTCTCTATGGATGCCCCCAACAGGTGCTTCTCCCCAAGGATCACCTCTACTTTCTGTTGACATTCAGCTGCCTGCAGACCTGGCTCCCGGGTGACCTCCTTGGAACTTGCCATTTGTCCTGCTGCTCACCAGGTGATGGTTATGGTCAGCATTGGGAGGAGCTATTAAACACTCACTACTAAGTCCCTGGTCCTCAGGATGGGCTGACAACATGGCAGAAAGACCAGAAATGTGTTTTAGATCAACCATTACACTTTGCCAAGTTGTCCAGGTAGCTAGCTACCTGTGGCCCCTAACAGCCATAAACACTTGTGTGAGATGCCCATTTCACAGATGAGTATATGAGGTTCTTAGAGCCCACACAACTTTCCCAAAGCCACAAAGTTGGTGAACTTAGTAGAGACTCAGACACAGGAGGACCTAACTCCTCCTGATTAAGACTAATGCTGACCACACCCACCCTGTGGTGAACCTAAGGCCTGTGCACAGGGAACTCCAGGGTGGAGCCTAAGGCCTAGGCTAACAGCTCCTTCTCATCAAAAGAAGGGCCTGCTTTCCCTTGAGGGCCTCCCATGGCTTCCTTAGCCTTCGCCTCAGACATATTTAGAAGTCCCTATAGATGGGTGGGTTCTTCCCCTGACGAGGGGAGGAAATTGAGACACAAAGGAAGATACTGGTTCTCAGGCACCCAGACATGAAAAAAATAAATCCCTGTACCGTGACCGTCTGCTGGAGTGCAGCAAGCCTTCTATTGTCTGCCCTGGTCTTGGGTCCAGATACTGCACTGGGCCTTTTTCCTCTCCTTGACACTGCCTAGACATCCTGCCCTCCCTTGATCCTTCTGGAGCCCCAGAGGTACAGCAGAACCACGAGCAGCTTGTCCATCTTGAGATATCAGATTTGGACACTATGGAGACTGACACTCCCTCCTTCCTGTGTCCTGGCTCTCCTTCTCTGGGAAGGTCATTCTTTCCTCCTGTCCAGGAGACTGACTTTCCAGGTCAAAGTACATAGTATGTCTGGGCAGGGGTAGATGCCACAAAGGATCAAGGAGAGTGATGGAAGCCTGGCTATGGACCTCTGACTATCAGGTGACCTGGGACATGGGTGTTCCTTTGTCAAATTTCCCCAGCTTCGGATCTGGGGCATCAAGAGATGGTAGTCAAGAGGCTGGGCAGACATCCCAGCAGTTAAGAGCACTTGCTGCTCTTGCAGAAAACTTGGGTTCAGTTCCCAGTATTCATATGATGGTTCATAACTACCTGTTCTATGGTATCTAATGTCATCATCTGGCCTACGTAAGCACAGAGACAGACTGAGAACTTCAGGGAAGCCTTTGGAAGTTGAGTGACCTTGGCAACATCCTTGCTGATAAAGACTCTCAAGTCCCAGGTTACTCATCTGTAATATGGGCATTGTTGACTTTACAAGACTCATGGGATGAAGTCAAAAGAGACTGTGTGTACTGCTGCTGGCCCAGTGCCTTAGATGACATAGAGCACCTGCCTGAAGACAGTGACCTTGACCTCAGTGATGTGGCCACCGCATGTGCTCTCTGCAAGCACTCAGCTTCTCCCAGCATCCAACATCAGTCAAAGCTCCAGTTTCAGATCTCCACACAAAGGGGAGCCAGCCTTCCCAAGAAGGAGGGGTACTATTGCTAAGTGATTCCCAAACCAGTTCTGGGGTCAGAGACCAAGCTAAGAGATGTGTGTTCATCCTTAGCTACTAAGGGAGGGAAACAGGCCATCCTTAGCTAATAAAGACAGGGTTATAAGCACATTGTGTTCAACCATATAGATGAAATCTCAATCTCTGTCTCTCAAGCTCTTTTCAAAGTAAAATTTTGAAGGTCCATGGTGCCAAGAATGTATTGCTAATAGTAAAGCTTTACTGAGTACCTATTTTGTGTCAAATACCGTGTAAAAACCTTTGTAGGGGTTATTTCTCATCATTTAACCTCCATACCAACCCGAGGCAGGAATTTCTTTTCAAGTGAGGAAGCAGGGCTTGAACCAGGATGTCTAAGCTGAATTATTTTGTTACTGAAACATACAGTGAAGAGGCTGGAAACAACCTCTGTGTCCAACAATAGGGCATTGCTAAAATTAGATTTGTTCCCATTTGGGCAGTGGTTGCACACACCTGTAACCCCAGCATTCAGGAGGCAGAGGTAGGCAGATCTCTAACTTCAAGGCCGACCTGCTCTACAGAGTGAGTTCCAAGACAGCCAGGGCTACACAGAGAAACCCTGTCTTGAAATAAAGTTATATTTGTTCTCAAAGGAAGAGTTTTTAGCTATTTGCAGAAGAATACAGAATGGTATTTACAATTGTAATATGTGGGCTGAAGGTGTAACTCAGTGCAGTGGGCATGAAGCCCCGAGTTCCATCTCCCCCACCCCCAGACACACAGATATACAACACAGACAAAAGACACACACACACACACACAGGCTTCCACCCTGCCTCACTTCTGCATAGGAACACCCAGGCACACCCTGCCTCAGATTTCCCTGCTCAGAGTGACTGGGCCCTGAACTTCTTT